TCAAATAAAAAAAATGTTAGGGGTGGACAACCCTTATCACTTAGGGGGTTGAAAGATGGTAGCGGATTCTCAGACCTACTGAATATGCATATAAAATTTGATTAAAATCGGTCAAGCCGTTTCGGAGGAGTATGGTAACTAACATTGTGACACGAGAATTTTATATATAAGATATAAAATTATGAATAAAAGTATTTTTCCAGTTTTACTTTTTTGCACATGTTTAAAAAAACATTCATGTCTTCTGGTGCATTTAAATAGCAATAATATAAACTAAACAATAAGGTACCTTATGTTTCTATTCAAGTTCTATATAAAAATTGATCCAAACCACAAATAGGTTGGAAAGTACGAAAAATCACTTTAAATAAATAGTTTATATATATAATAATAGGTTTTCAGACTATTTGACCTTCAATATTCATTGTACTCAATAATTTGTATATGTATATTCTATGATTTACCCTAGGTGCAGTGTTAAAGCCGGGCCAGAAGTACTGAGGAGCAGCTGTGGCGAGAGCCAGGCAGCACAGAGCGAAGATAACCTGTGAAATTAAACGGATAAAGGTTTTAATTAAATGAAAAGAGTACTTAAAAATATCACAGTATCGGGTTGATGTTTACCGACAAGATATATTTTACTACCATCCACAAACTAATAATTACGTATTTGAAAAATGACTTGAATTATTTATAAGAGTCCATAAATGTGGTCATCAAAAATTATTTTCAAAAATATGATTTTTAATTAAAACATTTTTGAAATAGTTTAATTCATCACAGCAAAAAATACGAACGAATCGATTATAACTGAATAAATTAATACAATTAAAAACTTGTCCATATTATATACCCGTAAATAGATGTAGTCAAGTTAAAATAAAATAAATAATGCATAGCATCTGGTTCACAGATAATTGTATCATTCAGACAATGTAACTAGGTGTTACTAGAAATATTATTTATTAATTCTTTAACAGCCAATAATATTTTATAATAAAACAATACATTTATATTAAATCTATATATGAATTAAATAGGTAAGCATTGCGACTCTAATAATATTGAAACATTAAAGGCATTGCATCTTATATGCTACGACATTAAAAACTTTTTTTAAATCAATAATACGTTACATCAATAAAATATTTAACAATAAATATTAAATGATTGAAATTAAACAATTTTTAAGTGAAATTGCTTTACTATTAAATAAAAAATATACGTACGAGGAATTTCATCATTTTGCTGGTTAGGGTTTCTCACTAGAACTGCTTGTATGCCTTCTGAGTGCAAACTATACTAATCTTAGAAAACAGACGCATTATATACAGCCCTAGAAGGTCATCTAGATCCCTAGCACCTCCTAGGCCTTATCTGAATGTCTAATAAATTGTCTTTGAAAAAACACAGTGCATATATGGTATAATATTTATGAGATCATAAAACAGCTGTGAAACGTATATGTAATCTAATTATTAACGACATATTAGATAAATAGATGTCATATTTTTAACTACACTGATAAATAATATAAATGACCATATTTGAAAAAGATTCCTACTATATCGTGATGCGTAAACGCATTTAGCAGACGCCAAAATTAAGTAGAAATTCATCTCGTTGAACAAAAAGTTGCAAATTTAAAAAGGTGTATCCTAGTTGAATTGAGTAGGTAATGCCTGGTTTTCTTATTGAGAAAGAGATTCTCTTCTCAATGGTAAGTAGAACTAATTCAGTTCCAGACAGGTTGAGTACACGTTACTTTGGTATCACCAAGCATTGCCTCTTCGAATAAAAATAGGTATGGTTTATCATCTTGGGTGGTAAGCATTTGATAAATTGCCGTTTTCATATATTTTAAAATCTCATGTCAGCTAAACACAAGGAGACGACCGAAAATCAATAAAGAGAGCTCGTTACATAAACGTACCATTTTAAACATAAAATGATACAATAATCATATTTTTCCTAAATTATTATGGTATATTAATTGTAGAAGAAAATCGTTTACTATTTGTTTTGAAATGTTAAATGCTTTAAATTGAAAATTACATCCCACTCTAACAGTCACCCTATTTAGTATATTTTATTCTTTATTATATGTATGTATTTATGATGAAATTTGATAAACGTCTTACTTAATAATCAATGCAGTATAACCCACAGCCTGAATAACAATGACAATTAAATTTGTAGAACATTAATAAACAAATGTAATGGATTTTGATTTAAAAAAAAATAATATAAAGGGCTATTTATGTGTTTCAATTAAACCATATTCGAGATAGAGACGAGGTCAAAATTATGCATATTATTATTAATAAATGCAAAGTAAAAGCCGCTAATCAAACCAACGTTTGCATTGACATGATTTTCTTTGTTTACTGTGTGATATTGAATTTTTATATATAACTAGGGCTGTCATATCTATTCAATTATAAATAAAAATAAACTAATTCATTTATTAAATACTAGATTTTTATTTTATCATTTGCTCTGTGCAGAGTAAGTTTCCCTTCTATTTGCGAAACAATAATTATTCCAGGTTAGTAAGCCGAGCGATTACTAATTACGTGCATTACAATATGAAACAACAATGCCTGCCTCATGTTTAATACCAAAAAAAGTTATTTATAGTTAATTTCCAATAAATCTGTTCAACTTTACCTGTTTTCTCAATAACCGTACGTACTCCTGATAAAGAGGGATCGCAATTGATATAAAAAGTTACAGACCACCGGTTAGAAATTCTAAATTATGTTCATATGAATAAATACAATAAAGAATAACGCGTATAATTACAGCCCTAATATGTCCATTTAAACTGGATCGAAATGTAGGCGTTCCTCAATACTAATTACCATAGCTGTCCTGTCATTGTTAATAATTCTTAAAGTCTATTTCCTGATTTAATTATCTTGAGTTCGGTCTAGCACGCGTCCTTTATGAATTGTTCAAATATGGAGAAACTCTTATGATGTAAACGATTTCAAATAAATTCTTTTACTTACAAGACTACATACTGATATAATTAATGAGAACCCTAATATATCATAACCTATAAAATTACTTAATGTAAAAATCGGACTACAAAACTAACACATGGTCAAACATTATACTTCTGAGAGAGAAGTCAAATAATATGGCGAGTCAATGAATAAAGTACTAAACACCGCCCTGTCCATGTCCTGCAACGTCTGAGGTGCTTTTGTTTTTGCCGACACCCAAGTCGATTCGGTCCGGAAATATCTACTGGCAGCTGATTTCACAAATATGTAGATGGTGCGCGGCAGAAACTGCCCTAAAAAGCGCTGTATCGTGAAACGCGAGACGAGCTTATTTATTAATTCGGTTTATTAGTCTAGTTTATTGTATTTGTGAACGATATTCAAACTTGCTTCCTACATTCTAAAATATTATTATACGCGGACGATATGAAAATCTTAAAATATATCTCTAATGAAGAAAACTCATCTGACCTACAAGATGACTTAAATAGATTTGAAGCTTATTGTCAAATTAATAAACTTGATCTTAACGTATACAAATGTTTTTCCATGAGTCATGACATACTCTAGAAGAAATAAGAAAATTATACACGCTTATGAACTTAAAAAATCTGTAGTAAAAAATGTCAACGTAATCAAAGATCTTGGAATGTTACATGATAGCAAACTTCTATTTGATACTCATATTGATAGCATTGTTTGCAAAGCTTATAAAATGTTAGGATTTATCTTAAGGACATCAACAAACTTCACCCAAGTGAAGACACTTAAAACTCTGTACTTTGCCTATGTTAGATCTAACGTAGAGTACGCCTCGCAAGTATGGAACCCACAATATGCCGTTTATAGCAATCGTATAGAACTCATTCAAAAGAAATTTATCAGACACCTCCAATATAAAGATAAGACTTTCCTGGCTGACTACTTAACAAGATGTAACCATTTCCACATTCTTCCTCTCTCAGTTAGGCGTGAGATTCCAGATGTTACATATTTAATAAATTTAGCTACAGGTGACTGTCCTGAGCTACTAAGTAAGGTGTGTCTCCGTGTGTATAATAGGACGCTAAAAAATATGCACCTATTGTACACACCTAAAGTTAACACCAATTACAGAAGGAACAGCTTTATGGTTAGGGCGGCGAGTAAGTTTTATAGTCTAACTTGTGATATTGACCTATTCGCCTCAAGTGTGGTGTCGGCAAGGAGAGCTATGACATCTGAGCTCCTCAGTGGAATGAATGATGAACCATAAGTTTTTATTAGTGTACATATAAGTTATACTAAACTGTTAAGTATTACTTAACTAAGTTTTACCTAGTTTATTACTTTCTTTGATATATATTTATATAGTTGAATAAAATCATTTTATTGTTACCAATCCTGTTAATATTATTAGTACTTAACTATTTGTAAAGATTTATTTAATGGCGTAAAAGAACATTGTATAGTAAGTAAGTTAGTAATAATCTGTAAATCTTTCTCAATAAATAAAATAAAAAAATATATGACTTAGGGTATGTTTCACAATGTACGGATAAGTTCTACATAAGTTCCAAATTAGGTATTTATTACTTATCTTGGTTTTTACATTTATCCTAAACACTATTGTTGCGTTTCACGACTATCAGATAGCGCTATTCGTCACATAAAGTCCATCATAAGTTATGAGTCCGATGAATGTCAAATAGCACAATTTATCTTCCAATTAATTTATGTGTTGCATAGCTATTTGGTACTTTATCCATACATTGTGAAACAGACCCTAAATCTAAAATTTGTCATTTATAAGCTTGTGTTCGTGGTTCTTGTACTATCCAGCTAATCTATTTATATTTTTCGTATAGTTCTGACTATTGTGGTGTATGGGCCAGTTTTCGGTTGCACTAATCATAGTTAATAAGAAATATTTATTAGAATTAAAAGAGTTTTTAATTACCTTTGATAAATATTGATTATATGGATACAGTTAAAGATGTTTCATATGCTTTAACAGATGAGGGGTTTTTCTGTGTCCAGGCGCATATGCTCGTCAATGCTGGACTCCTTGGGCTCGATGGCATCAGCTCGGTACACGGCATTTTCAATCCAAACAGCTATGCGATCTGATATGGCCACCATGAAACGGGCGAGGCGACCAGGGTCCGTGCGAGCTGGCTTCGGTTCACCTGCGTGAGTTATACCGATATTTATCTTATTAATTATGGGATTTCATACCATATCTTTTACTAAGTCGCCCGCAACTTCAGCCGTTAAAGCAAAGCAAAATTTTTAGGATAACTATCTAATTTTACAAATTATCTATAGTATATTTCTTATATATTCTGATTTATAGTAAATAAACAAAATTTTACTAGTAAATTAGCTGACCCGGCAAACGTTGTTTTGCCATGTATATTACATATTTCTAAGAAACATTTTTTTAGTTCAATGAAAATAACTAATATATATATATATATATTATATATCTACTATAATTAAAAATAGAGGTAGATCGTATAGGGGTGGAAATTAATGGTTGTATGTAATTTTGTAAGCTGTATCATAAAAAAATAAAAACAAAAAAATTTATCTTAAAAATAAAAATTTAGGGGTTTAAAAGATAGCAACCAATTCTCAGACTTACTGAATATGCATAAAAAATTTCATAAGAATCGGTCGAGCCGTTTTGGAGGAGTATGGGAACGAACATTGTGACACGAAAATTTTATATCTTACTAATAAATAGACGCATAGTAAAGAATAACAGATTTGTTTTGCCTTTCATACCGTGCTTTAGTTACTACTAAACACACTCATCAGGATTTTAAAAGATTTCATACACATGTGTTTGAATGAGCATCGTCTAGAATCTAGACTCTAGATGGTTAACACTTATAATTGCATCGGAAATTTTAATATTTATCGGGGCAGTGTTACCCTAGTAATGATGACCCAGAGATGTTAGGGTTATGCATACTTATACAGTGATAAATTATGGAGAAACTAGTATTGAAGACCGAAAAATCACCAGCTTATCACGTGCTTTGTACACACAAAAAAAGCGACATTTCCTTATATATACAGAAATCTATATTTCAGCGACTATGGTATTTTTATACATTTTACTTTTTTTATTTTGTGGTTTTATATTATTTCGCTTGTCTTGTTGTGGCTTTGCGTTAATTTTGTGGTTCAAATAAAAACCATCGAGTTCGTAAGCATTATCATCTTTAATATGCATTTATAAATAGATATATAATAACCTAAAATTTCAGCCACACGTTCCAATACAACATCAGCAATGCTTCTCAGCCTATTTGACACCAATATTTCCTTCTGCCCCTTCGCTATATAATCGCATAGACGGTAGGCAACCTGATTAACATAAGAATTCATATTCGTAAGCAAACAATGTTATGTATGCAGAATAAATAAATGACCAGTTATGATTGTGCTGTAATTTTCATATCTCTAAGGTCTACTACACTTGTAAATAATAGCTATTATTTCATAAGACTGAATCAATTAGGTAGAACAAAGCTCATAAATATTTTATGTATTTAATAATTACTTAGGGGACTCATAGCCTAGCGGTCTTATTAAGTGGCAGCTAGGTGAGGGGTACCGGGTTCGAGGGCAAGTTTTAATTTAATTTAAATTTGTTCTCGGCCTTTGGGAGGGTGTGCGGTACCGGGCGAGTGCCTAAACCGTTTATGGAGGACACGGTCGAATTTCTAAAGACAAGCACGAATTATAAAAAATCCTATACTTGACGCTGGCTAATGCACAAATCGTGCCAGAGCCATAAAAAATAATAATAATAATAATTACTTACCTATACACTGACTTAAGTTAAACTAACTCAGGGTCTATTTTTGTCTGAAAAATAAAAATAAAAATTTTTAAAAAAAAATAAATCGCGTAAATTATTTTTATATTATTTAAATTTTACTTTAAGAAAACACCTTTCCAAATCAATGCTAAAAAGACGATCTTATAAAACGAATAGGTTACATTAATAGGTAGTGGAATACCAAAGAAAATTAATTTAACAAAAATTTCGTACAGTTTACGAAAAAATTGTACTTTTTTGACAAATTGCGCCATCTTTGGATGTCACTTGTCAATATTGCATAGTACATTTTTTTCAACACGCCTGAGTGTAATCATAGAATCAACATCACAGGAAGCATACAAATAATGTACTTTTTTGAACGGGAATAATTTAAAATTTTCTTGGGTTAACTACTACCTTCACTATCACCCAATTTCGGCGTGATATTAACTTATGGATCACCCGTAGGTATATACTTTTGGTTTATTTATTTCCGAATCCCGTACTAAAGATGAGGGCATAATCGAAACTGAAACTAAAAGCGAGTAAAGGCTATAATGAAGTAGTAATAGTAATTATTAAATAGACCTGTGCACTGAAATTAATAAGCCACTTCTGACGTTGTCTTAATTCACGTACTTTATCCGCTTGATCCTTTCGGCTCACCATACCACCAGGACCCGACCAGTGTTTTGAGGAGCCACTTATTGCTTGGAAATATTGCTCAGTTTGTCTAATTAAAACAAATGGATATTCCATCAAATAAAATTCCTAAACCAAACTTATCTTTTTAATCTTCTAAGGTAAATAGGAGAAGAAAATTGCCTATAAAGTAAATTTTCTATCGAACAAAACGATATTTTGGATAAAATTCTAGTAAAATGTACCATTGAAAAATAACTATTTAACAGATACTAAGATCAACATCCAATACATTAATTTTAAATAATATAATAATAACAAAAGTATGTAGCAAAGGTGAATATTATCGAGACGGGATATTTTTGTAATTCTAAGCACAATCGCTTTTTTTAGGTCAATTTAAAAACCTACCTTTAACATTGCGGTAAATCAAAATAAAATGAAGTCACTTTTACTTTTTGGATAGATATGAAATCATTTAACGCATATTTCCTGGGTATCTAAACTAAGCAGACTATAACTAATTGGATTCGCAACTGTCGCTGGACCAAAACTAATTCGATATTTGCCAATACACCGCAAATTCAGCATTTTTTAATTTTAAACGTTTATTTTATACAGTAGTTGCTGTACACCTAATAAATAACCTAGTTTCTCTTACTCTGGACTAAGGAAGTAATCTTCTTCCAAAGCACTTTTGATCTTGTTCCTCCTTTCAGGTGGAAGAACATCACACTTTTCATCCCACAAGCAACGTAAACGCCTGGCGGTTGGACGGGCTAACATTTCTACGCGCTCCATTAAACGACGATTCCGTGGCATTTTTTTTACTTCATCGCCTAATTTGAGTTATAAAAAGAAATGTAATAAAAATTTGCTAATATCCTAATTAGACACATCAAAACAAGTTTAACTGGAAAATTCATCTGCGTAAAAGCAATATTAAAACTTGTTACTTTCCAGATACTTTACTACTTACTAGATCTTTTTTATGATTACCAAATTAACACATACAAGGAGTACCCGATATTACTTATAGGATTGTTATTTGACGACTTCAAAATGACTGCGGTTCTCCGACATCCACTTAGATGAAAGAAAATTGTTAAAAGGAATAAGTCGATACCAGCCGGTTGAAAATAAGGCAATAAAATAATATAAATTATTGGTATTATTTACACATTCTGAAAACAACTTACCTGCTTCAACGTTTTTCATTATTTTGACATTATGATCGGAAGACCCTGATAAATCAGATTTAGAGGCATTTTTGGATCCTGAATCAACAGATTGTCTCCCTTTCGGCATATTGATAAAAATAGGGGCAAATTAAAAAAATAAACTAATCTACACTATTAATTTCTATAGACACACCGAGGCCATTTTAAATATGAATTGACAGAAATGTGACAGTTAAAAAAACAATAGATAAAATAGGTTACATATTTAGCGTTAGGGGCTTTCTTTTTAAAGTTTTTAATTCACATTAATCTTGCACACGGAGATATTTAAATATCAAATTATTTCCCATCTAAATATGCCAGTTTTCTCAATTTAATCATATTTCTACGATATTTTAGTTGCTCGTTAGTTAGTTTTGAAGTTTGTTGTATATTTCGTAAAATTGCTTGCAATTTTTTTTTACCACGAAAAGCCGCAACACAAAAACACTATATGTTCAACATCTTTATTTTTTAACAGAATTTGGTTTCATACACAACCACGTCGAGCAGTCAGGGACTCCATCATTAACTTTTCCTTCCGTTGAGGCGTATTCAGCTTCGTATGGGATGTGCCAAATGTTCGAGTTCTTTTGGGCACACGGTGTAAACAATAATGGGGACTGAAATTATGTTATTTCCTCAATTAGTTCCTCATTAACGAAGTATCAAACTAGGGGTGGCTATACACTATATAGCGGTGAAACTGCATATTTTCTTGCGTTATAGTCTCGTTATGTGGAAAAAAGATTACATTGTATGGACAAAAAGGCAAAGTAACCAAAATCAAGTAATTTCGACGTTTTATGAGTTTGATGTTTAATCACTTAAATATAATTAATTTAGTATAATTTTAATTAAGTGTACAGTATACGTAAAATCATTTTAATTAAAGGATATCTCTAGTTATCAGTATTCATTATGATTAGTTTTTTTCAATTTGAACCTATTCTGAATATTATTTATATTAAGTATAGCATACACCATTGGTAAATAACACGCGTTTTTATTATAATAGTTTACTTATGATAGTGTTTGTTGCCATGGTAGCAACTTTTTTCTTTGTAAAGAAAAAATATCGTAACCATGGCAACAAACGAATCCCTTATAATAACGCTGTAATAGTTTGTACGCAAAAGGAAAAAAAAAAGTAATTAATATTGGATCCATTTTTAATCAAATCGTCTAAACTATTTCCTATCCCACATAAAAAACTTTCAAAGAACCGATGACTTTAGATTTTTATTTAATTTAAAAACAATAAAAAATCTTAAAAAGTAATTGCCAATAGGATTTACCTGAATAAACGGGCCTCGCTTATTGCCATAGACCTTCCACTGATGTTCCCATTGCCACCGTTGGAAGATCATTCTAAGATCATGTTGCTTCAATACAAAACGGTGTCCTCGTAGCAAATCACGAGATACAATATCAGTATGAGGCCCGCTCATTATCGCTGCGGTTATGAAATATGGATCGTCTTGTGATCTGAAATATGAATAATTTAAGTCATCAGAATCATCACGGCATTGTACTTTTAAAAATTATATCGTTTCGAGTCCCTAGAACTCCAATCAAAGTAATACTGTCCTCTCACATCATGAACGAAAAAATGGCATAAGTAACAATCACTTTATTAAACTGGTAAAGGTGCGCTTACACGAGGGCAATAATTGCTCGGCGACACGAATGGACCGATCTGGAGCAATTAATGGAGCAATTTCAATAAATTGCAATAAATTATTTCGGCGATATTGCTTCTAATTGCTCCAGATATTTCATATCGCTCAATGTCGCAGATACGAATTGACGAATATCCAATGGACTTGGAAATTCCTAGCAATTTTTGTATATGCTCATTCGCACTTGTTTGTTTTGCGGCTTGCCGTCTTGCTTCCGCGGGGAGAGCGAGAGGTCTAAATAATAATAATTTCTAATTACTTTATTCAAAAGTAATTCAAAGTCTGTTCATGACATTCTAGTAAAGTTTTTGAATAATATATCATCTAATTCTTTACATAATGAAAATTTTGTCCTCTTTGCCAAAAACGATCGCACCCAGATACGCCTATTCCTTTTCTTTCTTTTTTGTTTTTGATTAATGATAAAAAAAGCGCTACAAGCCGCCGCAGCAAGAACAATGTCGTCGATAGCGAGCGAAAACTGAAATGCTCGTGTATGACAGTATTGCCTAGTTGATGAAGTTGCGCCATATCGCTCAATATTGTATTGCGCAGCACCTTTGCAAGACGGCAAGCCGCAAAAAAAACAAGTGCGAAAGAGATATATACAAAAATTGCTAGGAATTTCCAAGTCCATTGGATATTCGTCAATTCGTATCTGCGACATTGAGCGATATGAAATATCTGGAGCAATTATAAGCAATATTGCCGAAATAATTTATTGAAATTTATTGATATTGCTCCATTAATTGCTCCAGATCGGTCCATTCGTGTCGCCGAGCAATTATTGCCCTCGTGTAAGCGCACCTTTATATTATGTATACATAACAAAAGCATCTTGGCAGTGAGAATCACATCCATGGTACCGAATTAAAATATGACAAATAGTTTGGTGCTTTAAATCTATTATTTTTAAGTTATCTCTGGCAGGAAAACATTGGATATATAACTAATGTATTAGTTACGTATTCCTTAATTAAATTTGACCATCAAATAAATTAATTTTCTTGAGAAAACGAAAGAAAGAAGAGAATGTCATCTCTTAATAATTACAACTGTACAAGTTAATCACTTATTTTTCACTATAAATTAAATATAAATACATTTGTATATTGAGGACAAAGCTGTACTTACAAATCATCCGTGAAAAAAGTTAGGCATCTTCTCATAAGATATTCCAACCCGCCTCTATTCCACTTCATCATGTGTTTCCGACCCAACAGTAAAATTTTCTTATTTTCATTAGAAAAATGATTAACTACAAACTTTAAAACTTGCAAACGATCCTTAATATTTTGGTTTGCTATATAACATATATTTAAAGCATCTAAAACAATGTCATATGGTGCTGTTTGGTTTAAAAAGTTTTGAAACCGTTCTAGTTCTTGAGGCGAGGATTTTAAGAATAAATCAGAGCCTACTATAAGTTTTTCCCTAACATTGTTTTGTAGTAATGTAAACTCATCAGGTGTTAATTTCATACATTCCAGTCTTTCATGACATGTAGTACATTCACCACTGCAAGAGAATGTCAATGATATAAGTAAGGTTTTAATGTATGTATTTTTTTGTCTGTCTGTCTATATTTTGATTTTAACTATTATTTTATTTTACTTTAACATGCTAGCTACATTAAATTTTTTATAAAATTTTAATATGAATTGAACAGTAATAAACTTATAGATATAAACTTACTTTTTTTTTAATATTGTAGTATAATTAGTTTCCCACTTCAATTCTGAATAAGCATCTTTCATTTTATCAGCTGTATACTTAGTAATTGGAATACCACTGAGTTTAATATGTGCACAAATTTCATCCAAATATTTTACAATAGTTTTTGTATCTTTATATTTCCTAAAAATATATTTAATCCATTCCTCGTAAGGATAATCTTGAAGCGGACGTCTGTCAATTACACTCATGTTAATTATATTAAGAGCTTCAGTCTTTTTATTCATTTTGAACAGTGTACCAATTAATGTACTATACGCAGAGTGGGTGGGTTTACCACTTTCTTTTATATCACCTAAAACTCTCATACATTTCTTCCACTCACATATAGAACATAATGCATGTAATAAGTTCTCTGCCGTAGCAGAATCTAATATTCTATATTTATCATATAGTTTTTTATATGAATCTAATATAAAACCTCTTTCTTTATTAGAAAGACTGTTTTCTTTCGCATAGTTATGGTACAGTATCAGAAGTCCATTTGTGGCACCTAAAGATAGTTCAGTATTATTTGCTTTTAAATAGTCCGCAAATTTGAATGCAGCATCAAATTCACTACTCCTAACCATTACCTTCAACATCATGGCATCTATATTTTTTCCGTTGTAATTTCCACGCTTTTTAAGAAGGTTTTCTTTAACGATAGTCCAATCGTTTTCACCATTATTCAAAACAGATCTTAGGTATTTAATTTGTTCTGTAGAATTCAGTTGTACAAATGCAGCATAGTCTGCCAATTATAAGCAATATATGTAAAAAGAATGTAAATTAATTATTAATATTAATGCATAATTAGGCTCTGGAGTAAAACAATTATACATACACGCTAACTAAGATCATGGTCTCGATAATGCAAGAGTTTAATCCCTTGCACCCTGAAGTATATTATTGACTTGTGTAGCAATTTTATATAAATTGTTAAAAAAATTAACTTACGTCTTAGTCCCAAATATTGTCTATTAAAAATCATATTTAAGAATTAGTTCAGCTTAAATTTCCAATTTATAAGAAGTTGTTGTAAATTGAGCATAACCTTAAAGGTTAAGACTAGCAAAGCATTTATAATTGAGGTACGGTTAACTACTTAAACTTAATTAAGTACTTTCGAACCACTAAATGCTCAATAATCATAATATTTACAATTTAATTTATACTTTCAAATTTGAAATATGTTCAATGTTGCAGAGTGGCGAGTGCAGGCAGATTCAAACTTTATCACCTTTTTTTTTTATGACCACAGATTATGACGTTGAGACGCGGTCATACTTCTTACGTTAAGTGAATAGTCAGAAATGACTTAAGACTATCACAGATTACTTACTCATGTATTATATAGTTATTAGTAATAATATAGTATATATAATGCTCAAGCCTCAATGCTTATCAGTTATCTTCATCCTACAAGTACATACTATTTAGTGTTTTTTTTTAAATAGTTTTACACTCTTGTTTTATTAAACTACGTTTCTATAAATTAATATTATTATAAATAATTTACCATGACTACTATTAGGCCTTTTACTTGCGAAGACATGCTTAAATTTAATAATGTGTAAGTTTCACTATTTGTTAGAATCTACCCTTTACAGCCATGCTTATTATTTTAATAAATTTCAGTAACTTAGACCCGCTGACTGAAACATATGGCTTGTCCTTTTATACTCAGTATTTGGCTCATTGGCCTGAATTTTTTCAAGTAGCAGAGTCTCCGAGTGGAGAGATAATGGGATACAGTAAGATATGGTTTTTGTATTTATATATTGTTTTTTTACTATAAAAATACGTATTATGTGATTCATTAATGCTACTTAAATTTTCATTCTAGTAATGGGAAAAGCTGAAGGGCTTGGTGATAATTGGCATGGTCATGTAACCGCATTAACTGTAAGTCCTGATTATAGAAGATTAGGTATTGCAGCTACATTAATGAACATTCTTGAGGATGTTTCAGAAAAGTAAGTTTTGAAATTATATGTATTATTCCAGAAATATGTAATAATATATAAAATTAATAAAATAAAATGTAAAATTTGAAAAACAGTTTTGTAGGATTCTAAATGAATTTAACAGTTGCAATTTGGTGACAAAAAGCTATTCAAATCATTGTGAGAACTAAACTACATGATGGGGCAGGTGCACTTTGTAAATCAACTTTAGATATGTAACTTGATTAATATAAAATTTAAAAAATAAACGTGTTTAATTATAATTTAAAGTTGCTAAAATAATTGTTATTTCCAGAAAAAAAGCATACTTTGTGGATCTTTTTGTCAGAGTTAGTAACAAAGTAGCTATAAATATGTACAAAAATTTGGGGTATATTGTATATCGAACAGTGTTGGAATACTATTCTGGTGATCCTGATGAAGATGCCTATGGTAATCATAATAATACATTATTAGTTGTATGCAATGTTAACAATTAATACCAGGCTAAAAAGCTAATCCACTCACTATGTTGCACTTGCTCACCACTGGGCAAATGCAATGCATTTACTAATATAACTAAAATGAACTTTTTTAAGAAGATATAAAATAGTTAAGCATACTTATGTTATTTTTACAGATATGAGGAAAGCATGTTCCAGAGATGTGCATAAAAAGTCAGTTATACCTTTATCACATCCAGTCAGACCAGAAGAAGTGGATTAAACTAAATTTGGGACTACTTTTGTGTTTCCTTACAAAATACAATCGCTTTATTTATGATTATTATATAAGGAATGAAATGGATCTACCAGTTCAATAAAATAACATATTTTTACAAGATATCTATCTGATAACAAAAAAAAAACACTTTCAGATTTCAATTAATAGTTTATGAATGAAATGAAAGTTTACATATAAATAGTTGACCTGTAATTAAACACAAGCATAAACTAAAATTATTATAATTTATTTAAAGTCTTATTCAGACACAGCATTATTCTGTGCTGTGCAGCTGTGTGCTGGATGTTGTTTGTGGATCACACTCGTCAGTTGAACTTTGAGAATCTTCATCTAGATTTGTTTCTGTATGAAAAGGTTCTGTAATTTCTTGTTGTTTGCGCCACATTTTAGCAGCAGCAAGCAATTTGAGGTTAGGTCTAACCATCTCATCCTCTGGGAAAATGTAATCAAACACTTCCTCCCACCCCTCTTCAACACCACTTTCACTAACAATCTTTTGCCTTTTCTTAACCCTTCTAGGCATTTTCGCCATTACTTTTTCTAGTTTAATGTCATCACCAATTTCTACTTCAAAGTCTTTCCAAGCTTCTAATAACAGTACTCTTGCTTCTTTTTCCCCTGCACTTCTTAGACTATCATTAGCACGTTCATAAACACGTCTAGCTAATTCTACATTTATATTGTCAGGATTTTCAGCATGAAGTTCAAATTTTGCATAGGATAACCAAACCTTGACATGCACAGTTCTTTCCAAAAGTCTTTCATAAAGTTGCCTAGCCCTCTCTGTTTCACCTTGAGATACTTCAAAGTCTATGTAACTTTTCCATAATAATTCAGGCATATCAAGTCGTGGTTGACCAACAGCTATTTCATAAATAGCTCTTGCTCTGTCACTATCACCTAATAATGTTTCAAGTTCTGCAAACTTAATCCAAGTTATGCAATTTTCAGGTCCATACTCTAAAAATTTTTGGTAGAGAATTCTACATCTGTCAAATTCCCTGAGCTGAATCTCTAAATCAATGTAACCTCTGTAAAGTTTGTCTCTAGGACATATACCTAGTGCCATGCCCAAAGATTTTCTAGCTTGTTTTAAATCCTTGCATCTGACTTCCAATTGTGCATACATAAGCCAAATTTTCGAGAATGTAAATATTTTATGCGGGATTAATTCAAGACAAGTTTTATACACTTGCCTTGCTCTGTCAACATCTTCAGCTTCTAACTCTTCATATAAGGCATAATTAATCCATAAGTAAATATAGCGCCTCCAAAATTGTTTATCTTTTGTTGGTGGTACATTTGCAATAGCTCTTTCATATGTATCTCTAATGACATCTACATTGCCCTCATTTTCTACAAGTCTAATATAATCAAACCATGCATCATAATTAGTGGGATTCTCAATTACTTCTTGTTCATACATATATTTTCTTTTATTAACTATAACATCTTCAATTCCAGATCTGTCACCATACTTCTTTTCATGTATAGTATAAGCTTTATACAGTTCTTTATTTCTATCTTTAGGAATGTGGTCCAAAGCATATTTATATATAACTCTAGCTCTGTCATGTTCTTTTTGATTCTCTTCAAACTTTGCAAATGCAATAAACAACCTTTCATCTAACTCTTCATCTCCAAAAAATTCTACAGCTCTTTCAAAGACTTTTCTAGCACTATTAATAAAACCATGATTTTCTTCAAATCTTGCATACTTAATCCAATTCTTAACATCTGGGTGAACCATAACAAATCTCTCATAGATTTGTCTTGCTCTATCTAGTTCTTTGTACCTTAATTCAAAGTTGATGTAAGTTTGCCAAGCTTGTTCATCTGGTTGCCATTCAATCCATCGTTCAAAAACCTGAAAAAGTAATTCATTCATTCAAGTCAAAAAAATTATAATCTCACAGAAATGGTCAAACAATATCTAAATATCTGACATTGGAAATGCTAAAATACTTACTTGTCTTGCACCAGCTACATTTTCAAGCATTTCTTCCATGTATGTGTACTTATACCAAAACTGTGACACTCTTGGTAGAATTGTCACCGCTCTATCCCATAAATTTCTGGCATGATTTACTTGCCGATTACGCATCTCCATTTCAGCATATTTCAACCTTAAAATTAATATCAAATTCATCATTCTTTCATTTTAAGCAGCTCCTGTTTTCAACTGTTTTAGCAACACATTAAAGAAAAACAAAGCTAACTTATTGTGACATTTCTTACCACAAGGTAACATTTCTATGGTCCACATCCAAAGCTCTTTCATAAATTGACCGGGCTCTCTGAACTTGTTTCTGTGATTCTTCCCATTGTGCATATTTCAACCAATTGCCTATAACCTGTATAATTAAGAAGTGATAAAGAACAGAAACCGAAACAAACAATATTTAAGTTAGATTTCGTACCATTCTATTTTTTCTTATGTTATCTTCGAAAGCTTTTCTCTTTCTATGTTGATAGTCTCGAAGCTCCTCTGGATCCGATATTTTTTGTTTTGGTGGTGGTGGTAATATCTCTAAATCTCTTTCTTTAGCCTCACGCAGTAATTGCTCAGCAGTGATTTGAATTTCTGCTGGTGCTTTGTTTTTAACCTATAAGAAGGAACATTGTAAGAATGCACTGTGCAAAAACATATAAACTAGTATGTTCAGAACCCACCTTTGCCACTTTAGGCATTTTTGCAGGCTTTCCTTCCATCGTCTAAAAATCTATTAAAAAGTGATCCAAATTTCGTTCGCTAGATATTAACAAAATAGTTATTATTATGGTTCGGAACGAAAATCAACAAAATTAAAGACGCACTACACAGAATACAGATGACGACTTTTTCCCCAAGAACCAATAACGACAGTTGAACTTTGAAGCATCAAACCTCAATACCACAGGTTAAGTTAGGGAAGGAGGACAGCGCCCCTGCTTCGACACAACGAACAACCCCAAATTCTCTCTACAATCTACATATCGCCCCAGTACTAAAAAATATTGCCATTTTAATAATGATACCCCAACGAGAACTATAGCGTAGGAACCGTGTTCAAAAATAAAAGTGATCAACTATTTGGCTCTATATGTTATTTTATGACTAATGTGTACAGGTGAATGAGTCATTTCACACTAAATACACTATTTGCTTGGTTTTCGTAAACTCTAAAAAAAAACTTTTAAATACCATCAATTCAAGTGTAAGAGTCTGGCTAATGAAAGAAGATAATTGAATTATTTGAAAACTTTCGGATGGCAGCACAGAATGTCATTGAATTTCTTAGGTTAGTATGATTTATTGTCTTGATACTTCATGCAATTACTCATTTTTATTTCTATTATATATTTATTCCGAATAGTTAACAGGTATAATAGCCTAAACTTTGTTTTATTTGATAGAATATTTCGTTACTTTCGCAGGATTTGATTATTCCGAATAAAGTTGTGTTTTATGATAAATATAGTTTTAGTTTTCCATGCAATGCTAGTCATTTAAAGTATCAATAGTAAAAGACTAAATACGTATAGTATTTAATTTCATAGAAATACAGTTACTACCAATGTAAAAAATAATAAAACAAAATCAAGTATCAAGTAAGTTTAAACCACAAAATATATCAAACTTTTAGGGATGCCATACTATATTTTTTTTTGAATTTGCCGCGCTTTTTCGTTATCTTCTTTTATTACCCAGACTCTGGTTACAAAGTTATTGGGTAATAATATAAGAGTACACATCACAATGACAAGATCGTATTCACGAAACTTCCTTATTGTTTGAAAAAATAAATATTTAATCTCTTGTATTTGGATAGTGAAAATCCTGAAAGGATTGAGAGAAAAAATTGGGAAGCAATAATTTTTTTTTTTGTAAAATATTACTCTAAAATCGCGAACGAAGGGTTATAATGATTTATCTTACCTTTATTCTTTTTCTGTCTTATGCATATTTCTATTTTCTAATATTAAATATAATACTCTTTCTAAGAGCTCAAATTTAGTGTAATCTATGGGCATCCATCATGCAGTTTACCAACACGAGTCACGACAATGGCCGAATTGTCCGAATAAGATATTTTTTATTGGCTCATAGCTCAAACCTGCCATGTCTTTGGTTTTAAAAATGGCGTATACAAGCTTTTTGTTTGCCGGTTTACGCTGTTGAATGAATAGTTTTCAAGATTCTGTGCGTGCTCGAACGACACTTTAACATCGTAATATGAAAAAACAGTACATGTGTAGATACAATATTCTGCACCATGGATTCGTGGACTTATTTTCATAGCGTTATGGTGAATTAGAATGGTGCCTGTGGTTTGTCAAGCTATCACGTCGTCAGGTTACCCGTATGTAACGTAAATATCATTCTACGGGAGTTTAATATTTCGAATATGTTAGCATTGACAAATACTAGATAATGGAGAGTTCTGAAGACGATGCGGGCACCGCAACAAGCGCTTCCCGCCGCGAATCGGCGCGGGAAAAGGATCTCGGACGCCTCGAAGACGTCGATGCAACTAGTAGTATTCAACAAGATACATCAGAACTCAGGACATCGTGTCAAACCCCCGCTATGTCGGAGGATAATTTCGATGGGGACAGCGTTCCTTCGCCATCGACACACGATGTCAACACTAGCACTGAGGCGATATTGGATATGATAGATGAGATCGTTGATGGGCCTGGTGCTCCGAAACGCTTACCTTTATTATTAGATACGGATGCTGAGAATGCGCCCACCAGTTGTGAACAGCAAAATGAGCAAGCTTTAGAATCCGCCACTCCTGAACCTGAATTAGGTTTGAGCACCAGTTCTATTATAAAAAATCATAATTCAGAGGTTGAAAATGTAGAAAGTGATACAAAGTGTACACCAAAAACGCAAAATGAAGACATTTCCATGCAATCTAATCCCTGTGATAGTGTTAAAAATTCCCACCCTGATGATGTAAACATAAACATTAAACATCAAAGTCCAGAGATTAGTGCAAATCCTAAACATGGGTTAAGTGACAATTGTGAGAGTTTTGCCAGTGATAAATCTTGTTTATGTGAAGTTTCTGAAACTGGTGCAAGAGTAAAATCAAATACTGAATCCGTAGCCTGTGTGTCAACAGAGGTTGGTCAAAGTTCATGTACAGAGAATGTAACCGTGTGTGCCACTGTACCTTCTGTTGCCCCTTTATGTAGTAAAAATATTGGAAGCTCAAATATTAGGAGTGTAGAAAGAAATATTGAGTCCCCTATAAACATAGAGAATCATGTTAACATTTTGGAACTTCAACTAGAGTCTATTACATGTGTTTCAACTAACAATGTTGAAAGTAGTAATGGTGAACATTTAGAAAGTGCAAGACACTGTTTACAAAAGGAAGTTGAAAGAACTGAAATTCTGTCTAATTCATGTAGTATATCTGGTGATGATAGACAAAGCTCTCAAATTGAAAGTGAAGGTAATTTAAAGTGTAAAAACACAGTTACAAGCCCAAATATAGTATTGGCAGCAAGTATTTGTGAATCAAGTGATAAGGTAGAGAGTTCTTCAAATCTTGAAATATTAAGTACTGATCATAATATATCAAGTGTCCCATTATCAAAATCTGTGGATTGTGAAACAAATGATAGTCCAATAAAGAGTGATATTGAAAGCAGTAGAACTAATAAAAATGCTCCAGTTCTGGAAGAGCCCTCCTCTGCTTCAAATCTAGCTTCTAAAACATCTTGTGACAACAATTCTAATAATGAGTGTGTACCTGGATCAGGTACTAGAAATACTCAGGTTATAGAAAATTCTGAAACCTCACTGAATATTGAAAATATTTCCGAGAATACTTCAAACTCAGAATCTACAATTGCTATGGATCCTGCAGTATCAAAAGCCGGTCTCTCACTTGAAAACCTAGAAGATACTATAAAAACAGTAGTAAGCAATATCCAGCAAGCCACCAGCTCAAAATGCTTATCCAGCCCCTTGCCAAGTATTCCCTCGAGCAGTGTTAAGACTGAAGGGAGCATATCAATGGAAGCAATGAATGATAGACTGAAGTGTGTTACAACATGTGAAAAAAGGGACATAGTTGTTGTTGAAAGTGCTGAGTCCACATCTAGTGACTGTAGTGCAAGTGAAGTGAAATCTTATAGTGTGGAATCAATGTCAAGAATCCCATTAAGAAGAAGGTTAGTGCGTACTGCTCTTTCACGGCCCGACTCAACAGTGTCCTCCACAGTTGATTCAAGTATTACTCCTCATACATCTGAACATTCAAGTGAGTGTATTAAGGATGTATCTAGTTCTTCAGATGCTGTAACTACTGTACAGGATAGTGATAATACAGAAGATATTAGAAGTGTCAGTGAAATAAGTATTTGCAAAGCAGAAACTTCTACAAGTCCCCATAAGAAAATTAGACTTATTAGAAGAAAAAATGATCCCCAATTAAATAGTACCCCATTTGAGAGTTTAATAAGAGAAAGCAAGGAATGTGAATCCACATCATCATGCAAAGAGAAATTAACTGTAACAAGTGAACAAGTACCTTCTGTAAGTGTTTCATCACACATTAAAGAGAATTTGGACTATAAATCTTCTCCAGATATTACTGATAATAGTCATTTAGAGAATTCTAATGATATTCCAACCCCTTCGAGTTCTTTAAAGAACCCTGAACTAATTAGATATCCAGATAATAAAGAACATGAAAGAGTTCCCCCTTTAAAACTACATATACCCAATGAAAATAAAGTACTGGAGAAATTGCAATCTCATGAACACTCCAAGGGTGAAAGATCTAGTTATAATATTGAGCTAAAAGAAGAAAAACTTGATGAATCAGAAAGAACTGTACCCAAGTTAACAATCAAAGTTAATAATACTCCATGTGACAAACCAGATTTAAAATCTCCAATACCTAAACTAACCATAAAGCCTCTTAAAGTACCTATTTCAGAAGAAAATGATCGAATATCCGAGGAAAAAGTATTTAAAGCTAATATTACAAAATTGAATATAAAACCCATACTTAAGCCACCTGAAAAAATAAATGAAATTCATAGAAAATCTAGTAGTAGTGAAATATCAGAGTCTGAATACTCAGAAAATGATGACAGTACAAGCACATCAGACCCACCATCCGCCAATGAACAAGGGCCATTAGATGTTGTTCCAAAAGTAACTATTAAATTGGGTAAGCCAGGTACCGATTCTGAAGGTAAATTTTACACAGAGTCTAACATTCCAAAACTAACAATAAAAGGTATTCAAAATAGTAATGAGGAAGGGAGAGAATCACCATCAAAATTAAAACTTGTTGTTTGCCAATCTGAAGAAAAACAGATGGAAAAAGTACCAAAATTGACAATTAAATCAGTAAGTATATCGGAAGGTCAACCCTTAAGTCCAAAATTAACCATTAAGCCATTAAAGCCACCTGATGGTCTAAATAGAGATATTATATATGAAGATAATCCCCCCATCCCTAAACTTATTATTTCAACTGATTCATCTAATTCTGATCAGAAAGATCAGAGCCATGTGCATAAAGTCACAATAAAACCTATTACTAAGCCTGATACTGAAGCTTTTAGTAAAACACCAAAAAAAACAATGCCGGAAAATTTAGAAAACATACCTGTAATAACAAAATTAAATATTAAACCTGTTATAAAGCCAGATAATAATTTAGAAGTATGTAATAAAATAGACGAAAAAGTTCCTA